AGTGCTATGATCATATGTTATTTCTCAAATTGTATGTATAAACTAGCAGATTCTGCACACATGCCTACAGTTTAAAATTTTTTATAAATAAAATATTTTGAATTGTAGGCATGTGTGCCGAATTTGCTAGTGTTGTGATCTGTTTGCTAAATAAACAAGCTTTTGTTAAAAGATTTATGCATAAGATGCGTGCAGAGCCCTTGTATTCTTCACTGTTCAATACAGTAGCCACTTTTCATGAAATCCACTTCTCCCTTGCACGTCTCTCTTTACTCTTGGAGTTATCGGCATCCCCTGTGCAGGTAGATTAACCATATGATTGTGGCTAGGGATGAAAGGTTGTTTTTGTTCTAGCTGCCTTCTTTCTGTTCTTAAAAAGTTCCTAAAAATGTTGTCAGTTATTCACCATATACGGAATACGCAATAATGCAGTATGAAACATTTTGGGATGTCCTTCCATAATACATACCCGTTGCTTTCTGTCTGCTGAGTACTATAACCATTTTGATCTTGGAGGATCATATTTTCATAGTGTTGCCACTGTGGTTTCCCTCTTCCTGTGTGTGTACCATGTGTAATATGCTGTTAAGAGCTATACAAAATAGAGAACAAGGAGATTTACAACACAGTGGTATTACATTTAAACGTGATATATGAATTTAGTACTGATTTACAAAGAATGTGGTTCTGCTGGTTGCATGCTTAGTAGCACTTACTAATATGAGTAGTCCCATTGTCCCTGCATAAGCAAATGTGGAAGAATTAGGCTGAAAATAAGAGATTAAAAACATTGGGTTTTCCAAAGATTGGGTTACTTAATGAACAACCGTTGACCAAAGCAGGCAGATAAGCAAGTGCACCTTCGTCTTCACTTGAAAATCCACATATTCCAGTCCTTTGTCTCTGTTGAGAAGGTATAGCCTATTATACCAAATTATGCATTTGGGGGTAGAGGGTGGGGAGGGGGATGGGACAAGAGTGTGAGCAGTAAATAGGAACTAGAAGGGTAATTAGGATACAGTGAAAATTATTCCACATGTGAGCAACACAGAATTTTAACTTCTAATTTTAGACATGAAGGTATTGAACCCTGTATCCCATTTCAGCACCAATCCAAACCATTCATTTCAATTTGTTGTCTCAGTATAATTTTGATATGAATTCATCCAGAGTTTCTTGATTTTTCAATTGATTAGTTATGACACTTACTGACTTTTCCCCCCTTACTAACCCAGATAATTTAAAAGTTAATCAGACTGTCATAAATCATTGTTCAATTGTTTCAAACTGTTTTGGAGGACTTTTTATTTTCCTCAAACTGCGTGTTATATTTAAGTCAGTTTTTTTGCGACTGAAAGGCCCTGATCCTGCAAAACTTAATGTGTTCTTAATTTACCTGTTGTGCTGATGTTATTCTTTACTTATGGTTTTATAAGCCTGCTTAACTTTCAAGATCTAGACCAAAGACACTTGTTTGTTAGAACTAGAAACATACCCAGAGTCTGAGCTACAAATGACTATAGGGAGAAATCAAGAGAAAAATTACTTTCTCAATTCCTTTTCCCAGTGTAGTACAATAAAAGCAGCCTTATGCATTTTTAGTCCTTTTAATATACCTTTTGGGGATAGACCTTCAGGTCTCGTCCAGCACTATGCTTTGTGTGTATGTGTGTGTTTAAAGGGAAGAGAATTATGGTATTCGGGGCTTATTGCTGCAGTTTTATCAGACAAAACATCTTAATTTAAGCTTTGTATGTAGATCCTGTCTAATTGGGAAGTGGTCTGTGATATTTGTACTATACAAGAGGCTATACAAAATTAAATAGTATAATTACCCTTTCCACTTTCATAATATTTCAGTAAAAAAATCTTCGTTTTACAAATTTCTCTATCAGCCTTACAATTTTATCCCTAAATTTATCCTTTTCTGAAATGTTGTTTCTTTTTGCAGTCTTCCTAGCAAGACAAAACAATCACTTTCTCCATCATTTTAACACTCTCTCGGGGGGGGGGGGGGGGGGGGCCCCCCCCCAATATTCTGAATGACACCGTAAATATTTTTTACTTATAATTTAAAATGTTGAAAGAGAAGTGAGTCAGATTATATATAGGCCAAATAAATATTGATTTGGACACACACGCACGCATGCGCACACACACGCGCGCACTGTCATACCTTGAAATAGGTGGTTAGTTGAAAGTTTGCACTAGTTTTATTGTTAAAGATGTTTGCATAGCATCTGTCCTGTAATAAATAAAGGAGTACAGTCCTCTGCATTGCCATTTAACCATCACAAATACAATATAGACAGCTTTCAACTCCTTGGAAAGGAAAGGTATTAACATGTTATCTAAGCAAAACATTCTCCTTATACAAGCAGATTGAAAATGAGATATCTTTTTAGATCTATTTTTTGAATGAGATATTTTGATTTGTAATCTTAGTATCAGAAATCATACATGTAAGATGTTATATTACTTTTTATGGCTGTAATATTAATGATTTACATTTAATAGATTAAAAAAAAATATAACTAGCTTTATTGTCCAGTGAGTGTCAGGCCCCAGTGGTGAAACATAGCCTAATATTAATAGGGTTAAAAGGACCTCCACTGTCTGTACTATATGTGCATTATACCTACATTGCTTATACATTGTTTTTTTCCCCCTAGTATTAGCAATCTGCTTTTGTACTTTGACATCAGGGATTTCCCTTGTGAATTTTGTCACAGAAAAAAGAGAATCATCAATATCGCAGTTAAACTTGACTTTCAAAGCTAATAGTATCTCATTTGGGGGCTCAAATTTAATAAATTTTCTTTGATTCTGGGTGAGTTTTTAAACATCAAACAATGAATTGGCCAGGGTGCAGTAAAATATTTAGATCTATTGACTATGGTTCAGAAGGGTAGAAGGCAAAACACTGGTGGTTTGATGTTGATAAATTCTTAGTACCTTAATCCACATTAATGTTTTCTTTTATCTGTGTGCATATTGGCAACACAGAGAGCCTGAAAACATGGCATATATACACTATAAAAATTTAAATCAAATATATATTTAAAATAATGTGTTTGTGTTATATTAAACAAGGTTAACATCTGACCAGAATTACACATACTGACAGAAGACCCTGGAGAATATGTTTGTTCCGCAGGACTGTATATCCGAAACCTAGTACACTGTGTGTGGAAAAAAAATTTGTGGAAGACCTACTCTGTTATAAAAATTGCATTATAGTGCATATGTTTGGCAGTCGCAGGTATTGACAGGAATTCTTTAGGTCAACCTGGGAAATGTAAGGCTCCCTATTCCCATAGACTTTGGGAGGGAATTAAAAATAACACATCTCTGGTCCTCTGTACATTTACTCATGCACACTTGTTCAATCAGTCTAGATTCAAAATGCTGTGATGTTGTTTGAGATACATTCACCCATGTAATCAACAGCATTAAAAAAAAGCAATTTTGCAAGTGGTTGAATAGAAGAAAAAGATATTATCTAGGACTTAAAATCAGTTTGAGTGGTTTGAATTTAGGGTTGATATGATATTTTGGATAGGTTGAGCTCTGAGTAAGAGAAGCTGCCAAATTTATCTTTGTAAGTATTGTTAGTAAATAGTATATGTGCTTCATTATTCAGTAGTTTCTGTATTCCCATTCAAAACTATGCCTTGCTATAAAAGTAAAGTTCACTGATTCTTCTGATGTGATACATTATTGTTTTTAACAAATATAACTTATGTCCCTAATTCTTAATATATATGTATGTTATTATATATAGATATTACATATACTCAAGAAGTAAATCTATTACTGCTCTAAGAAAAACATATTAATAACTGCCTTTTATATAAAATGCAATGAATAAAAATATAACAGTGTATACAATATATAACACAAATATATGGTATGTGTTTGTGATCTAATAATAAATACACTCCACACTATGTACTCGTGTTAGCTGGAGGCAAAGCATACTTTAAATTGATAATCAAAATATTTGTCCTGATGTGAAACAAATAGTGTATTTGGAGGATTAAAGAGGAAAAATATTTCACGTGTTTATATTGCTGAAAATTTTACTTGTGTTTTTATTATCCACATAGAACATTATTTTATATAATGAATTAAGAAAACTTTCTTGCTTAACCAGTAGGTGGCAGTATGATACCAACTGCATATGGTTTCATTTGTCGACAAATAAGTAGAACTTTCACATTTATAGTGTGATTTTTTTTTAAATTATTATTATTATTATTATTATTATTTTTACCTTTCTGGAATACTTAAAAAAAATCAAATTATCTAGAGTTTGTGAAAATACTACCAGTTTTCTCTCCATATCTTGTTTAGAAAGGAACGCAACAAATTTGACCAGTACTGGTATGTATTCTTTTGTGAATCTGCAGTATGAAATCTAACAGGCATTGCAATTAACAGAAGGAAAAATCCTCCGCAGGTAGATTTTGGTTTGGTTTGATTTGGTTTGGTTTTAGGAAAGATTTTAAATTTTGTTCTAGAGTTCAATTGAATTTGTAGTAGCTGAACCTGATTATGATGTAAAAATATCTCTCTGCAGCAGTCAAAATCAATTTATCTTTCTTATTTCCTGGGTTGCTGCACAGTACTTTGTTAACATAATGGTTCATAGTTTTGGGATAACAAACAATTATTACATTTTGTATTCCTTTGATTAGTTTTTTTTTAGAAGGGATGAATCTAAAATGTGTAGGCGAGTTGGTCTAAAGCCCATGGTGACTCTTCTTTCTTTCTCATTTCAGTCCAGAGGAGGATGCTTTTTCTTCTTAGCATTCTCTTCTAGCACTCTGAATTAGAGATTTATTTGCAACGAAAAATCAATTAGTCCTAAATTTATTCATGGATTTCAGGTCCAGCGATCAATGCAAGTCCACTCAGTGGGCTCAAGGGGACCCAGTTCATCCCAGTTAATGTGTCTGAAGGGGAATTACCATTGATGCTGTTTTTTTTCCCTTTAGGTCAGAGATCAGATCTCGCTGTCACGGACTGCGGCAACCAGGAATGACTTCACCCTGCAGCTACCCAAACTGCACCTGGAGACCTTTGCAATGGAAGGGCTGAAGGGCGGGCCAGAGGTTGTAGCATTTCAGGTTAGACTCTAAATAACCTTATTCTGCAGCTGAGATGTATAGAAAAACAAAATAGCTCTACCTATGAGGAACAAAAGCTTCAAAACTGCTCCAGTCAACAACTGGAAAGAGATCCAGACTAATCGCTTTACATATCCTTGAATGAATACAATTCAGGGATAATCAGGAGTTTTTAATACTGAAGATGAAATATTAAATTATTATTATTCACCCAATTAAATAATTGGGTGAACATTTCCCCCAAAATGCAAAATAGGTTATTTAAAAAAAGTAGTGTTGACATAAACCACTTTTCTTACATAATGTAATCTAAACCTAACAGAATAATATAGAAAAACAGTATTCCTCTGTTTCTTATAAGCTGTTTAAGAATGTTTTTACTCTAACATTTAAGAAAGATTGAGACATTTAAACTATCAAGGAATCGTTTTTTTTAAAGCAGTACTAATTTAAAGGGAATTATTAATTTTGAATAATCAAGCAGAAGAAATATTTTGTCCATATAATCCCAGATTTTCATGTTTCAGATCTATAAAGTATTAATTTTTAGGAGGGGGAAACAAAGGAAAATATTATTATGTACTAAGAAATGACCCCATTTTAACTCTCCAGAAGTTGGTTGTGTACTTTTTTTTTTTAGCTTGTTGAGTTTATTTATGTACACAGTATCCCTTAGTCTTTTTAAAATCATTCAAAATGACTTAATTCTTGTTCCACATAATTGTTAAAGGCAGAAGAATTCTGTTTTTTGAATGAGAGAATGGAGAGGATATTGAATAAATCTTTCTGTCAGTGTGCTCCTATATATGGGGAAAAATATCAGTCTTGTGTAAATTGTAGGGAAGTTCGCTGCAGACATTGCATAGTGTGTGTACGCTACAATTTAATGCAGTATAAACTGTATATTCTATATAAAGTATGTCACTGCTGTGTAAGGGTCACAGAATTAATCACAAACATTAAGGAAATAGTGTTCAATCTGAACACTGTATCCTGCCTTTGTACAAATGCATTACGGTCAATTTTGTTAATTAAATGATTGTATAACATTTTTTGAACAGTATCATATAGTATAATGCACACAGATTTTTTTTGTTTGTAAAGTTAATTTCAGATAGCTTGTATTTGGAAGGAAAAAAAGAAAGGCTACAACTGTAGAGTAGCCACTCCTCAATGTAGTGACGGTCACTCATTCACTTTTGAGGCTAACAATGAAATTCCACAAGGTTTGTCTTTTCTAAAAGAAAGCCATGGTAAAACAAAGCTGCTGCTTCTTTAAAACTGCTTCCTTATGCCTTCCTGATTTGATAGCCTGTTGTAAGGCCACCTTCCCTTTCTTTTTCCATCCTATGTCCCCAGTAATGCTATAGAACCAGTTGAAAGACAGCTTGTCCTGTCTTCCTGTCTAGGAGAAGGATGAATAGGTATTTAGGAATATGACTAGGGCTAGAAATTGGTGTTGCATTTGGCCTTGGATAAGTTATGCCTATGTTTGTCCTGGAATAAAAATATCCTGGGATCAGCATATACATTCATCACCATTCTAACCAGGGCTTAGTCAGCAGCTGACTGCGGTGCTGCTTTTCTACCATTGATTCAATGAGGCAATCCTGGGATAACTATAGAGATACTTTGCAGTATCTCGGGGCAAAATGTTACTGCCTCTTATCCTGGAAACTTTTAGGATTTATCCTGGGTCAAAAGACATAGATGTCTGTTTGATTGCACTTTGTTTCAGGATAACATGGTTTATCAATGTGTGTGTGTGCAAAACTTCACTTCATGGCTATGGACTGGGTGTTATCTGAATGGCCAACTGATTATGTGATTTCACATGTACATGCTTCCAACCATGACAGCTATAGTAGTACCTGGTTATTTTACATATAGACCACCTTTGCTGCTTATCTCAGTGAGATTCTTAGGGTTTTCTTTGTAATTGCATTTATTCAAAAGCAATTTGAAATAGTATCTTTGACATTAAAGTCAAACTTTGTGCAATTTACATGAAGTATTTGTTTATGGTGTACCTGTTTGTCACAGGCGGGGTCCTACAGGAGGGCCGTGATCTCCTCAAAGCCTCCTCCCCATGCCAAGTTGGCCCAAGGGCCCCCTCAGATTCTCGCCCGCCATGTCTTTGATGTTCCAGTGTATTAGGGAGGCTGTCTCACATCTCCTTGGACACGGTTACTTCTGGCCCCATGAACTCCTGGACTCTTCATGGGTCTCACTCTACAATGGGTGCTTCAGGGGCACCCTAGCCTTAAGGACTATGCATGGCTCCAACCACCCCTTATACCACACCCCAAGCCTCGCAGTTGGAATAGACGTTGTTCGGTCTCTCTGTCTACACTCACACCCACCTCTCGGGCCTTCTCGGTACTGCCACCCCCTCCTGGGGCTCTCCGTGCCCACTCTGGGCCTTCTCAGTCAAACCGCCCTCTCTCGGGGCTCACCGGTAAGCTGTCCCCTTTTCTGGGGCTCACCGTGCCTGCACTAGGGCTTCTCAATCACCCCTCTCTGGGGCTGGGGTCTATGCACCCCGTATGCAGTGCCCTTACTGGTGCTGGGTTCCCCACACTGCTGTGGGTCCCCTATGAGGCCTCCTCCAACCCCTAATAGCCTCACCCAAACCACCGGTGTAACAAGCAGCAACACAAACTCGAGCCTCCTGGCTATAACTTAAACATAAGCCACCTGACTATAACAACGTTGCTCAAGCATCTTAGAGCTGCCATAAGCTGCACCTGCAATCAGGCTTCTTCCTGCATCCTGGCTTAGGGAGCTCCTGCCTCTCTGACTGCTGGCAGGGAACTGCCTCTGGCCTCCTGCCTGTGATTTATATAGGAGCCAGGCCCTGCCCCTTTCAGTCAGCTGACCTCCTGGTTGCCCTGACAACCCACAGCTGGGCTCCTTATTCCCTGCTAGGGCTCTTTCCCCGGCAGTTTCCCCTCTTTAGGAGCAGGGCACTTAAGTGCCCTGTGACACTGTTAATTGAGTTTTAATTTCACAACATGATAAAAAAAAAAAAAATATATATATAAGGAACCTGTCCTGAAATTATATAAGTAGCAGTTCCTCATTAAGTAGTCCTGTTCTGCCAATACTAGACAGTCATTGAAAAAATTCAAGAATACTGTGATCCATATCTGAATATCACTTAAGAAAGGTGTACAAGGTTTTTTTCCATTTACAAGAAATCAGCCATCAAGGCATGAAGATATCTAGCTACAAAATGAAGATAAATTGAACAGTTAACTGGTTGGCTAATTGGTTGGCTAATTAGAAACCCAGTTATTTCTGGCATGATATAATGAAACCCAGAAGGCACTTTTTCTACGAAGAAGGATGGACATATACATATGTTTAGAAAAGCAAAAGAGCTTCCTTAAGAACCTGCATGAAATGTAACTTAGCTGCCAAGAATATATTTAAAAAAATGTATTTGTAAATTTTGGTCATAAAGTAAAACCAATCTTACAAGACCTTGAGAGAGTAATTTAAGATGGCTGATGCATGGAAAATGACTGAATATCTTCAAGCAGCAGTCCTTATTGGTTCTATAACACTGAATTCACCCTATGCGTTGTGTGATTCGCTAGCAAGGACATAGACCGAACAGTATTATGCACAAATGTTGGTAACACTTAACTTAGTGTTCATCTGGCTACTGAAACATGTGAGCTGAACCAAGTGCATCCTGTTCCAGCCTTGCATAAATGTAAACATCAAAGAAAAGAGATCCACATGTGAATCTTTGCAGTCAGTGCAGGTAATAGGATGCAAAAGACACACTGAAACAACCTTATGATGCTGGCCAAGGTTGAGAGAGGTCTTGAATTAAATTAGAAAGATTACTGTTTGTTCGGAACCACTCCTCACCTAAAAAGAGCTGTCAGATTACACATAAAGTAGCAATGAAATCTGTTATAAGTCATAGTTTTTCAAGTTGTTCAATAGATGTCCACAATGAAAATAGGATCATTTTGACAATACTTTTATCATCTTTTGAAGCATGCCATAGCAAGCTGTTACTTTGCCGTCATTACTAAGAGTAAGGGTTTTTAAAAATAAAAAAAGAGATAGTAAAATGCCATATACACCATTTCATATGGCTTTGAGGGTTTCAACCTTTGAGGGTTTGTCTTGCAGGAATAGAAGGCATTTAAATAAAACAAAAAAACCTGTTAATTAAACACATCCCAAATATTACCAATACTATTCTACTGCAAGTAGAGGTAACACACACACACACATTCATTAGTCATGAAAAGTACTAGGACCATCATGCTTGGTTGCAATTGTCACCTCTGTGTTGGACATGCAATAGGATAATGCAGAATTGTTTTGAGAGCAGGGTGTGACTGGAATTATGCAGCCACTGAAGTTCAGATATGATAGTTTGTGGCACATGCAATTAGAGACGGACTAGTCAATTCCTTTATCATGGGCTCTATCTTGACCTCTATCCAAGAAATCTCTGTTTGCATGTTCAACTAATTGCTTCCATTAATTTATAGAGGTGGTTTTGAGCTGGTATTAAATTGAATTTGTATGTTGATTCCCTTAAAAAGGAGAATTTGCCAATGGCCATTGAAGTCTGATTCTTGTCACGTTATATCAGTATTAGTCCCCTGTAAACATAACCTGTGCCAGTTGACTGGGTGTTAGAAATATAGTTGTCTTTTATCACCTTTTCATAACACCTTTATTACAAGGAAAGAAAAATATTAATAAAAAAGTTAAAATGGAGGAAGATATGGAACTTGTGTTCCTCTGCGGTACAAAGTGTTCAGCTATTTGGTGTACAAAGACTTCACAATGGGCTTGAGTGACAGTGGGGAATGGTGCATGCACAAAGATGAGTTTGAAGTTGGTGTCTGATATACAGACTGTACATGAATTGGAGGCTCCAAGCACGTGAACTTAATATATGTGGCTGGAGTAGTATGTACATTTTAAAAAATTTCACACTTTTTTTTTTTTTTTTATTAACATAG